TTTTCTGTTGGCAGAGCACAGTACCCATCTGGCACAACACTGTACTTTGTGCTATGATTCTGACTGCTGAAGTTGCAGAAAACAATACAGTCTCAAGACTAGTTTTTTTATATTGTGTCTGGCCTAAAGGGAAAAAAAAATCAGCCATCATAAGACTTGGTTTTCCCTTTCTTCATTCAGAAATGAAATGTAATAAAGTGCTTTTTATAAAGAGCACCTATGTGACAGAGAGCATTGTGCACTACTAAATTAAAAGGAAATATTTGAAACTAAAATTGCCTGCTCATGTAAATCCCAGTTGTCTATCTTCTCTTTGTCACTTGAAAGACATTTTCAAGCACAGGAACTCTTCCAAGAATATATTCAAAGGTATTTCACAGTTAATTGCTAACACTGCATTTTCCACCCTTTGATAGAGAATCACAGAATCATAGAGTGTTAAGAGCTTGGATTGGACCTCAAAGATCATCTAGCCCCCTCTGCCACCGCCATGGGCAGGGACACCTCCCACTAGACTAGGTTGTTCAAGGCCTTATCCAAATAGGTTTTGAACACTGCCTGGGTTGGGGTACCCATAACCTCCCTGGGCAACCTGTTGCAGTGTCTAACCACCCTTAAAGTGAAGAATTTCTTCCTAATACCTAACCTATTTTTTCTTTTTTTCAGTAGCTTTTGCTCCTTGTCCTTTCACTACAGTTCCTGATGAAGGGTCCCTCTCTGGCTTCCCTATAGCCTCCAGAGCAAAGCAATTGAGTCTAGCTCCTCTCACAAATGCCTACACCAACCAACTCCTTACTCTATAATAATCAAACAAATGAGGGACCAGAATGTGTTTTCATCTGAATTAAACCGTGTAAATCATGTTAATATTGTGTAAATACAAACACATCTCTAACAGCAAGTTAAAAATATTTCTCGACATGCATGTTGCAACAGTGGTAGGGTTATTAGAAGTGCATGTTTGAAATATTTTGATCTCTCTATTTGGATGAAAACAGGAGAATAGGCTTCAGTGTGTTTGAAATGTACAGAGCAGAAATCTCACTGCAGTATGCAAAGATTTCCTTTATACACCTATCTGATCTTCTGGTTCAGATGCTTCAGTAGAAAGTGTTTTCTAGTTAAATGAACATTCTCCCCCCTCTCAGAGCTTCTTATGGAATTTCTGTAGCATTTTGGCCTCTTTGGTGGGGTACCTTCATCTTCTCTGAGGCACAGTGTGGATCAGAGGCACTTGCCTTCCTCTGGCCAGGGGAGTATTTATTTACCTGCTGGGACTCAGCAGACTCCATTTGCACTCACCTCAGCTCAGGGCTGGCTTCTTCTCTTGTCAGTCCCCTTGGGGAACCCACAATGGCAATCCACAGAGCAGCAGAAACACAGAGCCCTCATCTCCTCCTGGTGTCTCTTGCTGTGGTTCTTGGGAGGCACATCCACTAGTGCTGCGCCCCCCACCCGTCAGTGTGACGCTGCTGTGGCTGTGCTCCCATCCTCTGAGGTGAGGCCTGGGACAAGGGCAGAAGTGTGGGGGAAAAGTGTGATGCAGCCAGCATGAGGACCTGGCACTTGTGAATGCAGCGCAGAAATGATGAAACGTGCTTGAAGAGCTTCTTTAAGAACCTGAATAATTCACATCTTACTTCTGCCAATTAATACATCCAATGCAGTGAGTGGAGCCAAAAGACCATTTTGTATTGGCCTAAGAGCTGTACCAAAGTCTCAGTCCCTGTCATGTTGTACTTACTGTGGAAATTACAATGGTACAAATAGAAATTTAGGTAATGCAGGATAAAAGATGGACTTGAACCCTTAAGTAAGAAAAAGGTCATTTCATTTACACATTTGCACACTAGTAAGAGGAACCCCAAGAAAATTAATTATACTTTCAGATCTTGCATATCATGCATAGTCAGATTTATTCCTAAGTGGCATATTATCAAAATTTCCAGTGGCATTTCAGCTGTTCATTAAACTTTACTGTGGGACATAGTGACAATTTATTACACAGCTATAAAAGCAGCAGTAATCATCATAAATGCAAGCCTTCAATGTTTCTTTCTCTATGTTTAAATCCTTTTTATTTTCCTTTTTTCCCCCACCATTACATCTAGTGAAACAGAGATTGTAGCAATCAATAAGCAAGGAGCCACCTCCTTCAACAGCAGCCAATTACCTCCTCTGGTTTATACAGGAGATGGGAGGTGAGCACAGATTAAGATAGGAAGCCCCCTGTAAAATACGGTTCTGGATTTGTGTCAAACTGGCCAGTAAAACTGCCTAGTGAGGAACAAAAACAAAACCAAAAAAAAAGACAGCTGTGCTGAGAACCCACATCTGAAAAAAACAGGGGAACATCTACTTTTATGAGGAAAAAAGCAGAGTTTCAAGCAGAGTTGGGAAAATAATATGCAACACTAATGCATACAGAAAATTCATTTTTATACTCTTTGTGGAGGTTTTCCATGACACTTCCATGAGTATCTTACATGCTCTTTGCTCTGGCTGCCACAGCAAAATCCTTGTGCTGTGGACACTTGCATCTAGTTATATTGGTTCCACTCTTTAAAGGGTACATGCCTCAGCACTCGGAGATTTCTGTCTGGCAATATCTGTGTATTGAATCTTGTGATGTGCTGCACTCTTCTTGCAAACTCAGCTAATCAGTGGGCAGAAACAAGCCACAGGTCACGTATTTGATTAACTGGCAGCTAATCAAGCTTTTTTGAATTTTGCATGTCACATACTGGCAGCAAACTGTTCACATCATAATCATAAAATACATTTTGAACCAATCTAGAAAATGCATTTCAGGTGATGCTGATCAGTTTGCGGATCTGCAGTGTGGTGAAGTAGCTCACATGCATCAGAAAAATTATGTTTGTTGAATTATTCATTCTATTTTTTTTTAATCCAGTAACAGGCAATGCATTTTTTTTCTAAGGGTTACATGGTTAGTGTTAGTTACCACAATGCTGTAAACAAATAAACAGTTGACTTTTCACCACTTTTACTGCCTTTTTTTTAGTTGTTTGGAGCACCACTAATTCTGATGTCTAAAAACCTTCAGATTTTGTCATGTGGAATCAAGTGGTGTAAGGAGTCAAAGAGTATGGAAATGGCTGCTGTATCACACTGTACACACAGTGAAAATGGCAAGCAAAGGCTTTCTCTTCATCTTGTGACAGGAGTGTCAAGTAATTAACATAAGTTTATGTGTTTTTATTAGGCAGATAATTAGCAGTCAGAGAATATGGTATTGTAGAGATGGCCAAGATTTTATTACAGTATTGGACCATTCAGAAACAGACCCAGTTTCTGAACTACTTAGGTGAGCAATCCATTGTGTAATGGAATCATCCTCCCAAAATGCATTGACAATTATCAGAACTGTGCATGCCACTGGGAAATTGCTGATGCTAATTACCACCATTAAATACTTGAATACAAAATATCTGCAAATGCTTCAGGACTTAGACATAAAATGGCTTCTCTTCTTTCAGGTCAGCTGTACATGTATTTCTAAAGACTAGGAGACAAAGATTAAGCTTGCTTAATTAGGTTACAGATTTTTCTTTCATATACCTGTGAACATCTCTGTGAGATTTTTAAATGATTTTTTTTAATGAGATTTCCATTTTTAAATGGAAAATATAGTTAATATTTTAATTAGTGTGCTTTGTGATGCATGAAGAATATTTAAATATCAAAAAATATATTGAAGACTCACCCTTTTGATACTTTATTCATTGATGAGTTCTTTCAAAAGACATATCCCCCAAATTAATTGTATTTCATACAAGTGTATTTCACATGCTTTTTGTGACTCACACCTTTATAAGATGCCTCAGATTGTGAAGACAGCATTTAGCCAGCACATTCAGAGGATAAAACATCTCACAGGTGGAGGATTGTTTCTAGCTAACTCTTAGCATATATGGCAGGAATACAGCAGAAGTACAAATTCCCTGGGAAATTGCTGGGGCGGGGGGGTTGTTATTTGGTTTTGATTACTTGTATGTCTCACCTGTCACTTGTATTGAAAAACTAGGCGAAGTTATTGCTTCAGAAGTACAACTGTGACTTTAAAAGTCACACAACTGTGCCTTTTAAACTTCTAATCTAACATCATTGAGTAAAGCTACTTCACTAGCATACATTTTGTTAAGTCGTGGCTTAAGCCAGGTCTAAAATAAAATTTAAAGCATATCAAACCTTCTCAGGTGGCCTAGGCTGTTGGGATGATTTCCCAGGTTAAGGCATACTGTGAGTGCACTTTGCATGGTTTGTATGATCTGCCTGCCCTATTGGCCTGTACACCCAAATGAAAGGATATGGAAAACCCCATGAGAAACTGTCCCATTTCATGAGTACATACACAAGAACATGTCAGAGTCACATCACTAGCAGCATTTTGAGATGTGGATGTTCAGCTGATAAATTTAGGATCATCCAGCTGATCGAACTATTGGGCCTCTTTTTTCTTTACCTGACTCCCCAGCTGGTTTTGATGGTTGCTGCATTCATCTCTGTAAGGCCACAGGGCACAGAGCAGTTCTGCTGCTCATCTCAATGGCTCCTCTTGCTCTTTTAAAATCAAGTCATGAGGTCGTTTCAGTGTTGTCACTTCAAAAGTCCCACATAGTGGGGGTGGGGGGGGGGAGGTTGCTGGAGCTGGATGCTGTCATTTTCAGTACAGTGTAAAATCTTTCCGTTCTGCTGTCAGTAAAGAAAATTAAAGTGATTTTGTTATGCTTAGACATGGTTTTACAAAAACTGAAAAGAAAATCTTTTCCATCCTTTTCTCTTCCTTCCACCAAATAAAAGGGTGGGGTAATCCAAATAAAAGTACTGACATTGCCTTTATTATATAAATATACAAGGTCTGTGTCATGACTTGAACAAGTCATTCTGTTCCAGTGAAAAACATCTGGTTATTCTCATGGATTTGATGAAATATCTTTTTTCTTTCCTTTTCTTTTTTCCCCACCCAAAACTCCCAGGATATCCAGTGAACACTCGCCAAAGCTTCAGATCCGGAGCCACAGTTACCTGAGGGCAGTGAGCGAAGTCTCCATCAACAGGAGCCTGGACAGCCTGGACCCTGCAGGGCTGCTGACATCCCCCAAGTTCCGCTCCCGCAACGAAAGCTACATCAGAGCCATGAGCACCATCAGCCAGGTGGGTGACGTGCACCTGGGGCAGGCTGGAGAGCAGGTGTCATGCTGGACATTGATTGCAATAGGAGAAACTGGATTTTGCTTTAAGTGGTGCTCACCAGCACTGTCATTAAACAGGGTTCTTAAGAATCTTGGGCTTAGAACCTCCAATCAAAAAATTTTGAATGCCTCAAAAAAAAGTTTGTATGCTGAGTTGCTAAAGTAAAATTAGGCTGTTAATAATTTGTATTCCATAATTTTATTAGAGATTTTAGTTTCTTTATGCTATTTTGTGCATTCTTTGCCTTGTGTACTTCCAAACCTTTCACCTAAATAGTAGAAATACTACAGTATATGTATTAAGTGCAAAAATCTGTCTGTATTTTTGCCCTGAAATCCTGTAAGAGATCTTCATGTTCCTAAACAAGAAGAAAAATGAAGTCCACTGCGACAGATTCAGTTTATGTGTTTCAATGGTATAAAATAGCCTGTCCTTTCACTCAGCATGCTTGTACAGTTGAGTTCATAGGGAACAGATCTGAAAGAAGTGCAAAAGTGCCAGTACACCACAAGGCAGAGGGCCAGTAGTTCGTCTGCTACATCCTCTAGCTCCTTGGAGTGATTTTTGGCTTTTTAGCTTAAGTGGATTATTTGGGTAAATCACTTGGATGAAAGAACTTCCTTACACTAGTCCAGAAGTGCAGCAGGCAGGATTTGTGGTGCCAGATTCTGATCCCTTATTACTGGCATATCAAATCATTGCAATGTCAAAAAAAGTGTGTGACATCAGTGACACTAGGACTTCAGTTGTGGCCATAACAAATACATGTGCCATTCAATGTGGAGCTGTAGTTTGCCTTTCTGCAGTACGCTATATTTAGACACTTCAGAGTATTCACCTGTGTATTTTGTAGTGAGGCACTTTGCATAGGGCATGGGCTGATGCTCTGAAAGGAGGGTCAGGATGTCTCCAGGAGAAAAACAGCACAGAAATTCAGGTCTCAACTACATGAACATTAGGTCAGGTTACTTGTTTAGCTGCACACCTAACACACAAAGCTATCAGCCAAGGAGTGGTTATTCTTTGCCAAGGTGGACAATTTTTTTTTGTTTTAAAAATGCATAAATTCAGAGATATTTTACTTGAGGATTGGATATTCTTTGCCATAGTAAGATTATTCTTTCTGTTGTACTACCTACTACTCTTCCAAGCTTTTTAAAATAGTTTTCCTTTGAAAAAATATGTGGTTTACTCTCTGAGATTTTTCAGATTTGTGTACAAAGACTCCACAAACATTTTTCTTGGTAACATTAATCCTGGAAGAGAATTTCAAATGTTTTTGTTTTTTTTTCTACCATCCTAATATACTCTTATCTTCTTCTGTTAACTTGGCCTTGTACATGTTTGAAAATTAACAAAATCCTCAAGTGATGGTTCCCATCTGCATGTTTCCTACCGTGATAATTATTGTGCTTTAATGCCAAGCTCAGGGCTCAATTCTCAGTTTAGAAACATGAGCATCCATTTCTAATTAAGCCAAGGTAAACGGTTTCCAGATTCTTAAGACCTGCAGGAAGTTTTTGAACATTCTTTGACCACCATGAGCACAAGTCTTTGTCACCACCTAGTGTCTGCTGCACAAAGGGTCTAAGGATTCCTTTGCATCTGCTCTCAGCCAGAAATTTAGTTCCACAAACATTTTTCCCTAGCAGCAAACCTGGTTCCCTTACCAACCTCCCCTTCCTGTGTTTGTTTCCCTTCAGCTTCCTAGCCACTCAGGTTTTTATCACTGTGATTGCCTGTGGGTTGCATTGATAATGTACTGGAGTTAAGCTGACCCTTTTTGGTTTTTTCCTCACCCCACAATGAAAGAGTGATTTTTATTTTACATGTAGTGATCACAATGACCAAATATTCAACCTCTGCCATGGACCCCGGGTGACATAAAACAGAACCTGCTACGAAGGCTCCAGGCTTCCCACCAGTTTCAGAAGAGCCAAGAGCTCAAACTCTGCTGAATCTTTGCCCAACACCTGTCTCCCCTTTTTGTACATTGTTTTCTTCCCCTCACAATTGCTGCTACCCATTTACCTTTCATCATGTGCAAAGGGATCCTCTAACAGGTGTTGGCCATTGTGCTACTGTAGCTCGAGAGCGTTTGTATCAGGCAGTGTGGAATATCCGCATACGGGATGCGCTGACCTGCCTGGTGTCTGTCTGCAGGTGAGTGAGATGGAGGTGAACGGTCAGTTCGAATCCGTCTGCGAGTCCGTGTTCAGCGAACTGGAGTCTCAGGCGGTGGAAGCGCTGGATCTGCCTATGCCGGGCTGCTTCCGCATGAGGAGCCACAGCTATGTCAGAGCCATCGAGAAGGGCTGCTCCCAGGATGATGAGTGCATATCGCTGCGGTCCTCATCTCCCCCGCGTACAACCACCACGGTGAGGACCATCCAGAGCAGTACTGGTGAGTAACACAAACGGAAATCCAGAGGGGGGTTCAGAAAGGGAAGGTACTTGGAGTGCATTTCCATCAGACCAGGCTTTTCTCTGCCAGACGCCAAGCCATTAAGAGAGTCTGTGTTTCACCAGGGAGCTGGACAGACTAATCAGCCTCAAACCACACACAGAGAAAGATTGATGCAGTTGTGGTTCGTTCTGTGTCCAAGCTAATTTATTCTGAGCTGAAAGCACATAGAAGGGAAGTCCAAGGTCATGTCTCCTCTTGCTATCTTCCCCAAAAGAGCAATCACAATTTGGCAAGGCTGAGCAAGAAGGCTCTGGGTTAGCAGTTTTGCTGGCTGTGACCAGTGGAGGAGGATCTCTCTGATGGGGTCTTCTACAAAGTTGAAGTGATTGTATAAGTTACTGGATGTGGTTTTTACTGGCTCAAAGAGACTGTTCCAGCTCTCTAGGTCCCATCGAAGATGAGAGAATGAAGAAAGGAAGAAGCAGTCTGCAGGTCAAAACATGCATGTTCACATTTTGCTGTTACATTCTTTCTGCAGTTCAAACTATTCAAGACTTGCTAGAGGGAGAGGTTTCAGTGTAAACATGAGACTTCAAACCTTCCTTTTAATGTTTAAGGTTGCTTTTCTTTTGGAAATAACCATGATGAATTTCAGATTTTGTCACCAAAATAGTGCTTAAGGGGAAGTAAAACCAAATTCCAAATCTGCTTCTCTCATTCAGGAAAGCAAGAGGCAGGAGCCATTACATGTGTGTGCTCTTCTCTGTGGCAGGATGAGAGAGAGCCTCTTTCTTTTGACTTCTGTGCAACCGTTCCACTGTTTTACACAAGCTTCATTTACTATTCGTACACTGTTCATATACTAATCATATTCTTGACTAATACTGACTATTATATGTATTTCACTGTACCTACTACCTCTTCTGCTGTATTTTTCATTCTGTTTTCTGTAAACTTTTGTCCTTTTGTGTGTTATCTCACAGGTGCAGTTGTTTATTCCTTGTAAGTCTTTTTTAAAGCTGCTTGTCAATTGTTTTATGTCATCAAAGAACACTTTAAATCCTTTTACCAAAAATGTTCAGCTAAATTAAAGATTTTTCTAAAAGCATCAAGTTTAAGTACCGTTGGAAATATATTGGCAACACATCACAAACATCAAAGCATTTTTAACAAATGCTGCAGAGCAGTTCTCATCTAAATCACTAAAGAAATAGTATTCACACGACAGCATTTCTGCTATAGAAATAGCCCTTGTGAGCACCCAAGGTTTGCACCAAACCACAAAGACAGGATTTGCATAAGGTGTGTGCTACTTCATTGTGTGGTATTAGTTTGTGTCAAACGCATTCTGAGGCAAAAACTGAAGGATGGGAGTTTTCAGGGGTCTTTCAGTGTGCACTCTCTGATCTTTGTTAGATCAGCTTGGGTTGATCCCAGAGAGGGTTTTCTGTTCTGTGAGAATGGCTTTGATAACATTTTTCCTTTATAAAAATAACTGTGATCATTAATACAGAAGAGAATAACTATTTTTTCATTATCCATATGTAAGAGGTTGTTCTTGTCACTTAGGAAAATGATGCCTGTGTCTGGGGATGATGGTGTATAAATGGAGGTTGGCTGTGTGTGCCAGCCAAAAACACTGGAAAACGTGAAAGAGGAAAACTTTTACTGTAAACTATCTCTTGTTTATGGTCCCTTTTTTGTAATGCAACCATAGAGGCCTGATCTCTTCTCTGGGTAGCTGACTTTATTTTAAAAATCATGTGAACAAAACTGGGATATTGAAAAACATAATCCAGTGAGCATGTTTTGGGTTATTGCTTCTGTAGTCAGGCCATTAAAAACAGAGAGGAATGATTTGCAGTGCTCTCTTTGGACGTACATAGAAGCATTTAAAGATTGCTGTAGATGCCTATTTTATGAAATGGGAATTTTACTGAGTTATCTTTTTCATTCTCTAATTCTTGGGCTCCAAGGGTCCATCCCTTCCACTGGTATCATTTCAGAAAACTTTTCTCTTTTAGTACCTGACTTAGATACCACTATCTGTTTATTGACTACCTTGGTGTTGCCTGTGCCTAGCTCACAGCAGAGAAATATGAAAGGCAATGTTGATGGTTTCTATTAATATCTGCTCCAATAAAATGGGAAACGGCACAACAACTAGGCAGGCATGAAGAAAGGAGAACGGTATTTCAGGTTTATCTCCACTGAGGTTGCAAATGCTTTTGTGGGAGACATGGGAGCAGTTATGTTCTAAAAATGGTTTTAACGTCCCCAAATGAGAGAGCAGTCCTCCTGCCCCTAAAGCATCTCTGCCTATTCAACCAAGAGAGATTCCTTTCATCATCATCAGAAATTCCCTCAAGAACATGGCTTTTCATTTACTAATACCAAGCTGTGATCATACACTGATTTTGAAAATCTCTTTGACAGCTGAAAGTCCAGGAAAATTCCAGCTTGATGGTGGAAAAGACAGGAGAGCTGTCAGTTTACTGGATTCAAAATTGTTCCTCTAGAGCAATGATCCACAGCTTTCCAGGGCATCTGGATAAAAGCAAGAACTATGGACAAAAATCACACTTTACCTGTTAGCCTTTGTTGTTGTGGTGGCAGCCTCAGGTTTTCATTTCCTTTTGCCACAGAGTGTTGGCGGTTTAGTTCTGCAATCAGGAATTGCACCTCTAGCTCAGTTCCCAAGGATGTGCCCGGTGTAACTACAAACCTGTGCACTGGCTATGGCACAGAACTCAGCTAAGGGTGGCTGCCCACATGGTGTCCTCTGCAGCCTGCACTGACCCTAGCACTGCTGTGGGAACATGGAGGCATGGCTGCAGCTGGATGAAACTGAGCCCAAGTGTAAAAATGGAGGTGGAGGCACAAACCTGATATCACCAAAGGGATGAAATGCTACGCTATGAGTGGGGAGGCAAATCTTAACCTCACCAAAGTCTACCACCAAATTTCCTCCTAATATCCAACCTAAACCTTCCCTGGCACAGCTTAGGACTAATTAGGACCTCTCATCCTGTCGCTGTTTACCTGAGAGAAGAGGTCAATCCCCATGTGTGAGTCAACACATACAGGTAATGATGGCAACCACCAAACCACAGCTGAAATGCAAAGAGTAGAGTTGTTTCATTACCTCACCAACATTGCTGGTCAGCAGGGACACACTGGGACATTGTGCTCACATTGAGTCCACATTTGGCTCTGTTTGGCTTAGTTCATTCTAGTGAAAAGAGACACACAGAGGCATAGGCTCCATTAGGCTCAGCTCATCCTAGCACACAGTGATGAGGGGACCCACTGCCTGCCCCAGATATCAAAGGGCATTTCACACAGGCAATTCATCACAAGGCTGTACTTTTATATCTCACTTCCAGAAGGCTCAAGCATGTCTGTATGTTGTCTCTACACTGGAATTCTACTTCTCAAATCCAGCAGAGGATGAACACTAAGCATAATAAATGGACACTCCTTCCCACTATGACATTCTTAGCATTCTCAGCTGCAAGGTCACTTTGAGAAAAAACTATTCCCTCCTTGCCAAATCTTCCGGTTTTTGCCCTTTCCTCCCAACACCCCACCTGGCTACAAGCTCCCTTTATCCTTGTTCTTAAATTAAGGGGTTTGGAATAAGGAAGAGAAAATGCAATCTTGACACTTTATATGGAATTATAAATAAGTTCTATGTCACAACTACATCATGCCTTGAAAGCTAGCTCCATTTACCCTCATATTTGCTATCTCAGTACCGGTGAGATGCCTACCCATGGAGGCATCCTGACCGTGGCCGTCCCTGAGAGCAGAGATGTGCAGGCTGGGAGGCAGAGCAGCTCTGAAGTGCTGACATATGTTATACACCATAGGGTGCACTAAAAATTAACACCCAGGTCATCTGATCTTTTCAGAGGAGTTTAATGAGCTGTGAGTTATTACATAATTTGATCCCAGGTTATTTCCAGATGCAGCTATTGTAGCTGAAGTGCTTCAGACAACAAATCCAGTCACTAAATAAGTAGCCTTTTAACAATTTTAAGTCAGTGAATCATTTCAACGAGCTTGAAAAATGCAGTTATTAAGAAACAATGAAATGTTAAAGTAGTCTAAAGAAAATCTTTCTCCCGCATTTTTTGTGTCTATGTTTCTAAACTTTCCCTATGTAGCCATGTATGACCCTTTGCTGTAGACAAACCTTATGACATTGTGAGGGCTCAGGCATGAGCACACATGCATAGAAATACATAACATAGTGTAATATACAAATATGTAATGACATCTCTAACAAGTAATAACATCAGGAAAAACTCTGCACTAGATTGCAATTCAGCATCTATCCACTGTACAGTTTGGTGAAGGGAAATACCAGAGTTATCTACAGCAATGCCATCTGGTGATTCTCAGTAATATTACACTTCTGCTTAAAAGCAAAATGAATAAAAATCCCAAGGAAACTGTGCTGTGTAGCCAGCAGGATAGGGAAGGACAGAGAGTTACCACAGTGTATGTTAATTACAGTCTTTCAGCTGAGCAGATCATTTTCCTTCCATTCATTGGAACATCTGGTCAAGACAAGTCAGATATTTTGTGGAAAATCTCTAAGGGGCTGCCTAGCCAATTAAAAATAAATAAATAAATAAATATATAAAATGCAAAAGTCTAAAAACTGACTTGTGCCAGGCAGAATTAAAAAATAAAATCAAATCCTGTGGATTTGTATGCCAGAAGTCGTTTGGATTCTTCAGAATTGTCCCTCCAGAGACTGCTCTGTTCCAAAGGAAACAAGGAATTAGGATTTCACATGTTATTTCCAGTTGAAGCTAAGGTTGGTTTCTGGATCTGTACCAAAATTAGGATATTTCCACAAAAGGTCTGAAGAAATATAACTACGTTAAGACCTTCATGCAGATGTTGAAACTTAAAATAAATCTGAAGATTGTAGAAAACAGTTTGAAAAAGAATTTATATGGTTCATTTCCTCTCTTTCCTTGAGT